CATTAAAATTAACTTTACCTATCACTGCAGGTTTTGTGTATATATGTGCACACTAAAGGGCACATTGACATGCCTCTAGCTTGACGTACGTCTTAAACTACGAAGGATTACGGTATATCTCATCAAATTATATTTGAGTTATATATACAACATTTTAAGATAAGCCGGTGAATCATTTTTATTAACCCTTAAAATTGTGGTAAAAGTGAAACCATGGCTTGAGGATATGTCATATGACTGTCAAAGGCTCAGCATTTTTTATTATTGAGTAAGTTTTTAAGACTACCAGACCTAGGCGAGGTCGAAACTACAGTTCACCCTAGATGAGAAACTCTTTTAGGAAATCAAGGCTATGTCAAATTCAATGAAAGCGTCAGTTCTACTCATATCATTGTGGGAAATTTTAACTACTAGTACTTCATCACTTTAAATGAAATATGGTGAATAAAACTCATATATAAGCTCAACATGTTTTAGCAGAGTCGATAAAGATTTCCTTGAGGATAGCGTCGGCATACATGTTCAGGTAAGACTAAGATGCTGCATGTCGTGACGTTAACTCTGAGTTTATTAACAGAATGGATGGACAAGCACGATAAAAATTATCCCATTTATTATATTCACACCATATATTTTTATTATTATTATAGTACAAAGACTCATAAAAAGTCTGAATAATATTAAATATTTTATTCGTTTTGATTGTTTGTTCAACTCGATTTTGCACTACATTATACGACCCGGCCCCACATTTGTTGTTCCTCATGTCTTTCCTTCTTTTCTTAACATTTTATACTCATGCAAGCCAACCCTTATAAGTAACTCTAATTGTCCAAGGCAAATATACTATGATCCTGTGTGATGTGCAAGGAAGCACAAACAAACAGTATATATACTAGCATCTAAGCCAGTAAGCTCTCCTATTGATCATTTAAAAAGAAATATTGGTTTATTACTTTTTTCTATCGTGCTTCAAGTTTATGGTTCTGGCACGTTATATATTTTAGCCAATTCTCGATGAGTTCTTGCATTGTTCCTTGACAGACTCCAATCGGTCTTGTCCTGACTTGTTTTTCAGTCTTATGGTTTCAGATTTAGCGCAACAGTTTGTTACTTAACGACTCCCCATTTTCTCTTGTATTATAAAAAACTTGTTTATTTTGTATTATCGCTTTATTTTATACTTGGTGTTGACATTCTAAAATAAATTAACTATCTAGTTCCTAATTATAAATTCTCTTTTAAATGCATCGATTTTCTCAATTTCAGCTTAAGAGCTGGGTTTTTTATGACTTAATTCTGTTGTTTTCATTCGTCAACTATGGCCCACGTATTGGTTCTGATATGTTTTAGTTTTTAGCCACTTCCCTATTTAGTAATATTCCTTGGTTTTTAATTAATGATGAATTCTCCTACTTTTAGTTATTTAAATATTTGAAGTCATTTTTGCGCTTATCAGGCTCCAATTTTTTAACGAATGTGCTTAGCCACTTGACAATAGATTTTCACTATATAAACCGTGACCACAATAATTGATACGTTAACGTTACTATAATAAGGTATTCTTCGAAACCCGGGTGTAATTTTTAGGCCCTCTTGTACTGTAGCGAATCTAATAAAGTATTATCATTTTGCATACGACCATTGTCGATTGATTTAAAATTGCAGTTAAGGAGTGTGCAATCTTGTTAATAAGAAATTGATAAATATCTTCGTTTTGCATACGCATATTTGCATTTAGCCGGTGAGTTATATTACAATTTTTCGATTTTTTCCCAAGAAACATCTGTATTATTTATGAACTCTCCACATTAGCTTGAGTGGACTACTTCTTCCTTTCTATCCGGGCTTATGTACTCCAATTTTTTAAATAATTTCCTCTATCGCTAATCGCTCTATCTGGTTCTAATGAGTTAAATCTTAAGGCCGCCTACTCTAGGTTACTCATAGTCATTGCCACTTTTTCCTTAGTTCTTTATCATTTTTCCTTGATTTGGTATTATTAGGCTGAGGTATAATCTATCATCTCAGACCTCGAGTCATTCGCATCTAATGTACGCTTAATTGTTCTTTATTCATTTTTGTCTCCTAATTCTTCGAAATTTTATATCAGACGAAATTATATATGCATGAGGCACACTGCAGACATTAGTATAATGACTCGTGGCGAATAGATCCTTGTGTTCTCGTGATAAAAATCTGTTTTATTTACGTTTTTGCAGTTTTTGTCAGAGCCCTAATGGAGGCAACAGGCAGCAATGAAACTAAACTTCTTCTATCATGGGTTTTCAAAAGCCGCATTTGTACAGCTACATCTGGCCTTCTTAGTCCTCGTGAAGCTGAGGTTTCACAGAGTGGTCATCTTTTGGCCTCTTGCGATCCGAACGATCCTGTTGTTCCCCCCTCCGATCGTATTCTACAACGTGTCCTGGCTTTCTCTGAGTCCAGAGAGGAACTTCTATGCCTCGTCTATGATAAGAAGACGGAAGAGCAATCTTTTTTGGCTCTAGACATTAGGGTAGGTTTGGATTTGATTATTTGACATAAAGCGCCAAATTATACTTTTACTTTAATATTTTTTCTGAATGAATGTTTCTTTTTTGTTTATTATGACTAGCAGAGGTTTTAAAACTAAACAATAGTCAGCAGTGCGCTATTTATTGTTTGATCGGCTTTAATCAAAATTCATCTCATTTTGCTATTATTATTATCATAGAATAGGAGTTGTCGGGCCAAAGATTTTAAAGTCTGTCTTGCAAGCAATAAATCGTTAGAACCCATATTACGATTAGTATAGCATCAGGTCTAAGTCCTTTTGAATAATCCATGATAGGTCACAGGGGGAATCTGACTATGGTGTAAGACTTATTCTTCAGAATGTTACGCTAACGCAGCATATGATCTTGTTTCCATTTATAGAGCCATCTTTTTATTAAAGGTCGGCAATGCCAACACGGCCTGCTTCCTCATACCTGTGACGCTGTTCCTTTTTCAGGATATCTAGCTCTTTTATAACACTTAATTCCCCGATTTTTTCGAAGTAGCTCCTTTAGCGAGTTGTCAAGGCTTTTTTTCAAATGAAAATGAATTAAATGATAAATCTTCCAATGGTATTATCTATGTAATGTATGTATGGTTTGCTTAAATTTTGACCATTAGAAGGTCTTCCAGCTGACCTCTATCTTTATTGTCGATAGGACATGGGATCGTTAAGGCCACAATTATCTGCTGATAACGCTAAAATCACTACGCACCCAAAGTGTTTTCTATCGCTTTTATTTTTCCAATCCCATTATCTTGCCCCAGAATGTCTCCTGTCCCAAAGAATCTTGGTCCTTTCCTCAACCCCTTGCATCATATCGGCAGCCCAGGCATTCTCGATCTCGCCTTAATACTGCATTGACAACTGCTGCAGCCTATGACCACATGACCAGCAACTTTATTGCTCTTCTGCTACCTGAGCCATTTATTGCTTCTTCTGCCGCAGCTATCGCCTCTAATGGCGGTGATGCTTTGGCACCTGATTTCTCCTCTGCCTTGTCCGAGCCGGTTGTTGGCTGCATACTTAGGCCACCCAAGTTAATGCAGCGTTTACCTACAACTGCTAAGCAAAGGCCAGATTTGCAATTCTTTCTTTGCTCACCGATCTCGGTTTTGGGGCAGCCAATAGTCGATGATAGACCCGAATCTAAGGCGTTTATAGCTTCGAGGTAGTCTTTTTTTTTTTCTTGAAAGAACATTTTGACGACCTGGCAGGTCCTGCCGAATCCATGCTTTGTCTGTGAGCCGGGTTAAAGCTCATTCTAATGTTTACCATTTAATTTTAAACACTACCTATTTGTATCCATTTTTTGCTTGCAATGATTATGATGAAGGGTGATAATGCAAATATAATGAAACAGGAATAATTGTAACTTATATTCTAACAATTTGTCTTCACCGTTCTTTTTGTCCGTCAAACAATATTTTTATCTCATTTCCCTACCATCTTACCGTCCTTTTCTAATTAACCTTCAGTTCACCTCATAGTCTTGCATGGGCTTTGCAAGACAGTATTTTAATCTCAGCTCTTCCAACTGGATCTCTCGTTTACTGGCGCCTCCCTTCTGAAACTCATACGCCTCTACTCTTTCAGCAACACCGGCATTTCCCTGAACATAGCTCGGATTCATCAACCCCATCTGAGCTGTATAACGACTCCAAAGTCGATATGCGACCTATGAGTATCGTTTGCCGTCCCCTTCTTATGCATCCTTATCATACTATCTCCCCCTCGAGTTGCATAGCCTCGAAGGCAGAAGGAGACAACGGAAATATAGCTGCCTTGGGAAAGCTTCTTGTCCTACTTTCTGTCTCTCCGCTGGACACCAGTCTCCTCGCATCTGCTGTCTTTCCCTGTTCTGTTAAAGAATCGAGTTCCGATTGTCCTGTTGCTCCACATGGTGCTGGCGCTGGCGGCCGCGTACACCTTTGGCGGCTGCGCATCTTGGCGGGTGAAAATGCCGGCTTCGCAGCAGACCTTTTGGCAATTTGTTCGCCACATTGTGAGATTGACCTCTCTCGAAGTAAGCATACAAGTATAACTAGAGCATGTAATTTGGAAGTTGGGGGGATCAGATATTTGATGAGTTAGGCTGGTATAGATGGATAATTTGAATACAAAGGCATGATTTTTTCTTCTGATGAGTTGGCTTGAGGTTATTTACCTAGTATTCGTTAAGTAGAAAGTATCTGAGATTTAGTGCTTTTTTCACGATGGAAATGAAAATAGACATTTTATCATATTCACTAGCATTAAGAAGAGTCTATGAAGTATATTTGGTTTAAGGTGAAAAGGTGACTGGTAGTTGAATTTTTCCACAATGGCTTTAGTAGATCCAATGTTTCCATTGAATTTCACAGCCAAAATGTATTCTCACTCAGGCTAGACTGCAGTTTCGACCTCGCCTAGGTCTTATCAATACTTTCAGCGAAACTCGAACCATGGTGGTTCAGAGTATAAGCCTTACACGTTAACCACTACGTGACATTTTCACGAATGCCTTTGGGTCACAGGGCAGATGTGCATTTTGAAGGCCAGATATTTTGCCATATCACATTTTGTGGTTTGATTTTCGATAAATCAAAGTTGTATTTGCTATAATAACGACTACGTTACTTATTTTTGTTTATAAGTAGGTTTTTGAAACTGCCAGTATATCATTTATACATGAAGTGTATTTATTGTATTTCCTTCAAGATGATAGGGTTGTTTTTGATAAATGTCTGGGGTTAAATGGGAGTTTTTACTTATGTTCGAATAAATTAATCCCTTATTTGCTTTACTTCTGTTATTGGTTAAATAGCTTCACCTAGTATTTATATCCTAGATATAAAAATTAAGATGGCGCAACCTTATGTTTGGTCGCAGTCTTCTTTAGCTGTGTAGAGCGAGAATGTATATAAGAAAAATAGAGATGGAGAAATATGCAGATAAAATATGGCAGACCGCTTTTAAGGCAGTATCGGCATGTGCTCCTCTTCGCAACTTGGTCAGAGTGACAAAAAGAGCGTGTGCAACTTACCTATTCCCGCGTCTTGTGCACGATTATTCATGATGATTTCCCACGTCAGACCGTTAACTTGGTACATTCCCGAACGTTTTGCCGTCATCGTTAGTGAGAGGCGCTATCTTAAGCATAGACTTACAACCTATCAAAATGACAAGTGAAGGCAATCCTCTTGAACGCTTTTATGTTCACTTTTTGTCGCAGCACTCCTCGTTCCTATTTTTTGTATTTTCTTTTAGTGATGTAACTCTTAACTCACTTCATATGGCCCATTTACCTATTCACACCATCTTGTATTCTCACTTCAAATGCTACCTAAGATTGTGCCGCTTCAAGTGCATTTAGTAAAGCGTAATCACCTTCACCACTGGTTTCGGATGCCACACGCAGGGCTTCTGGGTTATGGCTTATGACTTTCATTTAGAACCCCTTCATCTCGCCTATCAATTGTTTCCTGCTTCACATGAAAATCACCGTCTGTGTCTGAAATCTGACTGCCTATGAGCCTATGATTCCGCTCCTCGTTTGCACCATATTCGTGAATTTAAAAACAGATCCTTTCTTAGGACAAAAATATGAGTCAGGAGTTATGCCATACTCGTTGAAAAGCAGATGGTTAAAGGGATTGCTTTCACTTGCTACTTTAATAAGTTATAACTGTGCTAATGATGGGGCATCTCACTGACGATACCGGCTTAGCGTTTGGGAATGTATCAGAACAACGGTCCGATGCTGGTAATCATCATTAATATTATAACAGTAGATACAGGACTAGGTACGTTTCACAATGTCCCTGTATCTCACCGACTAAACTGCAAAAATGAGTTAAAATTGCCCAGGGGGATTGCCCAAACTTGTCACGTTGATAAGTTGTAACTCTGTGCTTACGACGGCGCCTCTCACTAACGATGATGAATATCAAGTCAGCGAAATTTTTGGGAATGTACCCAGCCAATGGTCCAATGCTGGCAATCACGAATACTATGGCAGAGGACACGGGACTAGGTACGTTCCACCAGGTCGAACCAACGCCAAGTCAGCAAGACTAACTATCTATGCTATATATACTCATTGCGAACAAAATTTAAGATATAAATGGGTATAAAAAGGTCTGGTTAATTCACGTATACTCTATGTGTCTGTCTCGGCTTACCTCTGACCAAGTAGTCTCCGCCTGAAAATGTATTCCTTAGTAAAGCTATATTAATATCAATTTATCAAAGGATCGATCCCACTTGTTTCTTTGACGAGTTGTAGTGTGCTCATAAGAATGACAAGCTTCACTGACGATTCCGATCACGATGCCGGCGAAACGTCTGGGAATGTACCATCTCCATTGTCCGACTGAAAATTATCATGAATACTTTGGACTCCGGGCAAGGTGCGTTCCACTACGTCGTCCTTTCAATGTTACCAGTTTGCGAAAACAAGGTCAAACAACTTCTATATGATAATTAATTTATTCAGTACAGCTGAAGGATGGTGTAAGACTTCCACTAGAAAAAAGCACTAAACTTTGCACTACTGAATGAAATAAACCATTCTCTTGAAATAGTGGTTGAGCTAATTAGCATATCAGATAAATAAACGACGTAGAGTAACACATCTTGTCCGGAGTCCATAGTATTAATGATATTTTTCAGAGTTGGCTCATGGACAAGGTACATTCCAAGACGTTTCGCCCGCATCGGAATCGTCAGTTGGCCTTGAAATTCTTATGACCGATCTACAACTCGTCAAGGAATCAAGTGGAGTCGATCCTTTGACCAATTAATATTAATATAGCTTTACTAAGAAATAAATTTTCAGACAGAGACTATTTGCTCAGAGAGGCAAGCCTATGCTTTAATCCTGCCGTCATGTTTTCTTTCCAAGAAAATAGGAGAACTGGTGAGGAA